ATCTATCTATCTATCTATCTATCTATCTATCTATCTATCTATCTATCTATCTATCTATCTAATCTTCCACATTTATTATTTTTACAAAGAACACAAGGCAGCAAATAGATTCTCCACACCAGAATGAGTCCAGTCATTGCCAATGACTTGGCAGCTTGGAGGTGAGTGAACTTCAACTCCCAGAATCCCCCAGGCCACAAAAGGCACCATGCCTTGACCACAGTGCTCTACCGGCAGCTTCTGAAAATTCCAGGCGGGAGGCTTACCATGTGCTTGGCGAGGCTGCCAGCCAGGCCCGTGTTGCGAAGCAGGTGCCCTTCCGAGGGGAAGCTGAAATTGCCCGAATTCAGATTTTCTCTGGATGAGTGGGTGCCAAAGAGTACAAACGGTTGCCTGCTGGGGCTGATCACACAACAAAAAGAGCAAATGACACACTTTCCTTCTATCGGAAGTCAAAGCGCTAAGAAACGGGTCACGTTCAAAACAGGTAAAGAAAAAGCGATTTAAAAGAGCAACATCGCAGCAACAGCGTTGTAAGTGTGAGAAACGGTTTAAGTCCCTTTTTCCCCCCCACTGAGGTTGTATCTTCGGTCACTAAACGAACTGTTGTAAGTCAAGGATTTTACCCGCGTTGTGAGGTAATTATTCGGAGTGGCAGGAAGCGCATTTTTAACCTAGAGCGCCCATATTCAGCAGTTTTTCTCAAGGAACAGAAATTCTGATTTAAGTACAGAAAAATTCACCTTGGGTTTAATTCCCTCCAAGCCTTCCCATAAAAAGAATGGGCTGCTAAGTGACACAAAGACCACCCCACCTTTTTTTTTTCTTTGCCAGAGACCCCCTGAAAGCTGCAATCAGACAAAATAATAACCATCCATTTCCAAGGTTATATCTGGATTGCAATTCTGAAACTCTGTCGGCTAGCAAGGCAGAATTTATCGTTGAGTATACGCGATCAGGCTGTGGGAAGATTGCCATAAATCTTACATTTTTACAGTCTTTTTCCTTTGGCTATTTGATGGAAGAAGAAGAAGAA